CTTGTCACTGTCCAGCAATAGTCTGCAAGCATTGATGGGCTCCATTTGCCCTGATAGCGTTTCTTCCCTTTATAACTCACTTATCCTCCGCCATTCCCAAGTCAAGGGTCGTATATACTGACCCAATAGCATATCTTGAAAACTAGAGCCAATCAACAATTTTAAGCATCATTTTCGTTCTCAGTGACCCAGAATTAGTAAAGTTTGACTACATTTATTTCAGAAGCATTTTGGCTGTACAGCAGTGATCAGAGCAAGTTGTGGTGATGGTTTTGTGATACGGACCCCATTCCTGCAGGAACCGGGCTGAGACAGCTAACACAGATCACTAGTCAGTCATCAGATGAGAACATCTTTCAGTGCCTGTGCACTTTGGGTGGATTTGAACTGGGGACTTATAGATAAAAGGCCCAGTGGACCAGATCCAAAGTCAATATAAAGAGGCTCCTGGAGTTCAATGGGTTTTGGATCAAGCCCTACACCCACTGCCAATGCCTGCCAGCCAGTTTCTCCTTAATGAAAATGTCACACCTATTTGTTATCCACAATTGAATGTCTTTCTTTAAAGGTCTAGAGATAATTACTGAGGCCCCATTTTTGTCACATTACTCTGACCAATAGTACTTTACTCTGGAAGCGTTCCCACTGATTTCCATGGGACTGCTCCCACGCAGTCCAGTACTGTGCAACGTGAGCAAGGGAAGGCAGAGTATGGCCCTTGGTGAATCCAGCCCAGGATTTCTGATTACATCTTGAAATTGGAAGACACCCTGATCATAACCACTGGCGGGGGGGAGGGTGACCTGTTTATGTCCCCATCCCCCACTTTCACTACATACTCCCACTCCTCCCCTAGCTTTTCATTAGCCTGCTGCTATTCCTCTCAGTGTGGTGGCAGGGCGTGCGCATTCTCACATGCTTGTCACAGCTGCAGCGGCACCCTGAATCAGGGGCCAAATGTGCATTCCTCTGTGCCCATGGGGGTAGCTGTGCTGGAGAGGGGATTCTCCTTAGGCAAGGGAGCAATACTGCTACTACCCTCCACTGCGGGTTCTCCTGGTGGAGGGCACAGGCCAGGGCTTCGTGAGAGCCCACAAAGGCAAAGCCTGCCCAGGGGAGACACTGACTCGCTCCATTTCCCAGCCAGCCTGAGCCATGTGTACCCTTGGTAGTTGTGGCGGCTGGGTCCAAGCTCCACAATGAAGCAGGGGATGTGGGCGGGTTGGGCTGCTACTCTCTCACTTCTACTGGGCCCAGTTTGACAAGCTTACCTACCTAGCAGACAAGGTTCACATAAGGACTGGGTGTGCCACTGCTCAGCGGGGGCGGTGGAAGGATTGTGTGTGGGAAGGATTTGGCCTGCCTAGGAAGCCTCTAGGAAAGGAAATGGGTAGTCCTAGGTTGCACAAACCCTCCTATGACAGAACCAGGAGTGAACTCATTCTCAAGGTGCAGGCCAACTGAGAACTCTGGCTTGGAAAATCAAACCTAGCTCTCATAGAAACAGTTTAAGAAATATTTGGCAGCAAGGCTGGACAACAAATGGTCCTATCTTATATATGTTCTATGAGTTGTCCAAACCATCTGGCCACACATGAAGGAGGACTTGTGGGCTTCAATGAGCACTGAGGCACTGCTCATGCTACTCGGGGTAGTTTAGTTTAAGGGATGAGCCAGAGGCACAGTACTACAGATACTTGGGTCTGGTGTGGCTGGAACAACCTCCCATCTGAGATCTATAGAGGTGTCTCTTGGAACCGTTTTTGTATATTCTAATTTATTTATGTATTAATTTATAAAGCACATTGATAATGAAGAAATCTGTGCCAGCATATGCGAGTAATAATTAATCATAAGAAATAAAGGTGTAAATAACAGAGCACTGAACAAAGCAGTCACCCCCTGTGGGACAGGCAAAAGAGAGGAGAATATTCCAAGATACTGAGAGATAGTCTATCTGGCTAACGCAGGCCAGCTTCTCAAATATATCCAGGGGTTATAAAAAGTATTTGAGGGCTGAGTCTGAGTAATTTGGTAAGTGGAAAATAGAGATGGCCAAGACCGGACCCATTTAGCTGATCCACTTTTCCGATCCCTACCTCGCCCCTCCCCACAGCTCTGACCTCCTCTCTTCCCCTCCAAAAAAACAAACGTTGGCCATTTAAATAAATAGGGATCGGGTCAGAAACAACCCTGATTTTACCAATAAAATACTGACCCAGATACGGAGCTGTGGCTAAGTTCTGCTCAGCACAGCTCAGGACAAAGGATGCAAAGGTAGCTTAATCACACATGTGCACCCGCATGGCCATGGACCTACCGGGCTGTCAGTCCAGTCCCTTGTATAAATTAGAGCAGCCAGAGGCACCGTTCTGACCGCAGGGGATCATTGGGGCATAGGGATGCCTGGCTGTGCTCTTATTTCCCTGGCCATACCCCTGCACAATCGCCAGAATGGTGCTGCTGTAGGAGCTGTTCTGCATCACCTGAATAATCCCTTGTCTCAGGGATTCAGTGCAGGCTCAGCTGGGTTTAGGGTCAGAGCAGCACCTGCCAAGATTGGTGTAGGCATACCTGGTTCTGTCTCAGAACAGGAGGGTGGACAAGATGACCTCTCAAACCCCTTCCAGCCCTACATTTCTATGAAACCAGCTTTCATGTACCAGAGGATCTGGCCCTTTATCTTCATTGTGTTCTCTGAACTTCCTGAAGTACTTTTTTTGTTGTTAAATTTATGCATCCAGTTTAACTATCTTTCAAATAGGTTTAACAGTCCTCATAGGGTATTGTGAGGTTTAATTAGTTAGTGTTTGTAAAGCACTACTGAGATCCTTCAAAGTCACTCTAAGTGCAATGTATTTTTGGCAATATTATCATTATTTTTCCAAGTTTCCCAATACACATTTTTTCTCCCTGCAAAGCCAATCCGCTTTTCCTAACGTAACACATTTTTCACAATCGATCCCTTGTTTAATCTTACTTTTAAACCCAACATTTATA